CGCCGTGAATATGGGTCTCGCAGAGGAATTGAGAAAGAGGAAGGCTCATGTGGCCGCCGCATAGAGTATTTCCCGCTCCCTCCTCCCCATTAGGGGCCTACATCACGTCCCATCTTCGATCTTAGGTGTGAGATCTCCAACTTGCTCTTATCTTACAAACGAGACGAAGAGAACCACTTGCCCCCCCCCATTAAACCCACTCTTAGAAAGGCAATCATTTACATTTTTAGTTTCATTCTCCCCCTGGCTCTTACAGTTCCAAATCATCGCGTTTTTGACTCTGTTCACGGTCGCATTGCTTACTTATTAATCCCATGCTCTTGATGTCTTTCCTACTCGAATGATTGAGCGAAGTGTCCTGTTCCCTGTATCAAATTTCTTTGTCCCATGCTGTGATCCGAGTTCATGCAAGACGGGATGGTACGGTGTTATGAGGTCTGTCTTTCCGATTGCTTTTTCCCCCCACGGGCTCAGAAGATTCATGCCGTGTTACGTGACTCAAACGCAGAGGTTATATCTTCATCATTGTCTTCGCATCCCAATTGGTGCAAGTCTTTGCATCCCCCAGATAAAGCACTAGAGCACCGTATCTACGTGTTACCGCACACTTTACTCACGAGGTTCCTCTACAGACTGTGAGCGGTTGCCTGAAGTAGGTGTTGCACATACCGAGAAAAAGAAACAAACATGGAAGACGTGTTTTCTGTTGACATTTGATAAATGGTCAAAAGAAAAGTGAAAACTAAGAAAAAAGTAGCCGACTTGAAGCATCCCAGATAAGAAAAGTCCAAACACCACGTAAGCGCCCCTCCCCCGCTCCCTTCCCCTTTAAATCAGACAGTTAGATAAGATCAGAGAAGCTTTGATTCTTGGCCGGATGTGGGTCCGCAAGTAGAGATGAGAAAGATGGACGATGTCATAGACAGGAACCCTATTCGATAGGTGGTTAGCTGATCGTGTAGGAAAAAGAAGATCGTGTGAGAAAAAGCAGGAGAGACAATTCAAGATATCAGGAATGTACGTGAGTAAAGAATCGTGTTTTGACAGCATGCACAACTTCTTGTGTGTCTGAGTGAGCTGGGTAAACGAGGTATTCATCATAGAAAAGGTGGGTGTGCCCATTTAAGCAAGAAGAGGATGAGTAAATCATACATACCAATCTTCCTGAATAAAAAAAAAAATTTATACAAATCCACATAGAGGATAGGAATAAAAGGGCGTTTAGAGAGCCCTCCCCATGGCCGCCTCGGGTCTGGCAAGCATGTAGCGCACCGCTTCCCTCGCGACGGGGGTGTCCCACGCCCCATCGGTGCCGCCTCGCCGGAACTCCGGCCCGCTGGCGTCCTCGCCGCCGCCTCTCGTGGCCTCGCCGAGGATGGTCTCGAGGTCCCTCCGCTGGCTGTTGACCCAGCGGCGGAGGAAGGTGGCAGGGTCCTTGCTTAGGGCCGTGAAGAAGGAGTGGCGGGCGCGCGAGTGCGTCAGGGCCTGCACGATGAGCGCGACCTGGTCGTCCAGCGTGGAGATGTGGCGCATGGCGGCGGTGTACTGCGGGTTCTGGGTGAGGGCGAGCATCTTGGACCGCAGGGGGTCCTCCAGGGCGACCTGGATGTCGTAGACGGTGGGGGTGGGGTCGTTGTGGTAGTCGGCGTCGACGCGGATGGTGTAGGGGAGTTTGATGGGGTCAATCGGGCTCGTGTGCGGGCCAATGCTTTCGGGAATCTGGGGGAAGAACATTTGGTCCCGACCGAAGATCTGGATGGGAAAGATGGTTTAGTATAGGAATCTGATGGCCTGCGGAAGGGGTAGGGTCGTGCTGGGCCTGAACATGAAAGGAGAGAGGCAACATACCGATCGTAGACGGTGGTCACAGCGTACCAGCCGCTTCTCTTCATCCTCCTGTAGTCCCATGGCGCGGATGTAATCCCATATGCCGAGAACAATCCCACTGCGAGTCTCTTCTTCCACGTCCAGAACCTCCGCCAGCTCCTTGCTCAGTTTATATCGCTCTGGCGTCTCGTCACGCACCAGACTGACTGTGACGTTGAGATTCTCCTGCGACGCGCGGGAGAACTGAATGGAATCGAAGTCTGCGGTGGGGGGAAGCGTAACGGCAGTGGGGGGTAATTGCGGCTTGTTCCAGGTGATAGGCTTGACATCCTCCGGGTTCGTGGTGGCCGGTCTGTCGAAATCGATTGTGATGGATTTGAAGAAATGCGAGAAGCGCTGCTGAGACCGCTTATTTGACGCTGCGGGCTTCGTCTTGGTCTTCAGAGCCTCGGGGCCATCCTGCTCCATCGCGTCGCCGTTCGCATCGGCGGAATCGTCTGCACCAGCCTGATCCTCGTCGCTGTCTTCCGGAGCCGTCGGGTCGCTGTCGTCATCCAGCAGACGTCCCTCGATGCGTACCTTATACCGTCCGGACCCGGGATTGCTGGCACCGTTCTGGCCCGAGGCGTTCTGCCACGGTTGGTTCTCGACCGTGTTGGATATCCAAATGCGCATGGTGCGGTACTTCTTCACGGTCTTGCTGATGGAATCTTGGATGTCGAGTCTCTTGCGCACGATGGCCGCGTCCAGCCGTTTCTCGAGGTCGCGAAGGCTTTTGTATTGCTGGACACCTTCGCCAATGACCACTTCTTCGATTCCCTCCGGAATGCTCTTGTCTGCGGGCTTGCGACTGCGGCGGAGCGCGGCCTCGTTGGCTGCGTTGGCCGCCATCATATTGCGATGTTGTTGAGGAAGGAGCTGAGGGGGAACGCCGTGTTGACCCATCGGAGCAGCAGGCATTGGTGCTAAATAGAGTTAGAATGCATGTTTTATTGGAAGCATTGAGGCAAATTGGGGCTAGAAGGTCAGAAAAGACATGGCAGGACGAACCTTGTGCTTGAGGGCCGCGACGAGGCGTGGCAGGAGATCGTTGGGCGGCCTGCGGTGGAAACCCACGCCCATAGTTGGGAGGGATCGGAGCGTTCATAGCTGGTGGCATCTGCGCTAACAAGTCTGCAAGGGAAAAGCTGGAATGGAGTATAAGGAGGGGAGGGAAATTGTTGACGCGAAAGCCCTGTGATGATGGAAGGTGAAGGCGCGCGGACGAGATGAAATGGATGTTCTGTTCTGGGCGGATAGACAGAGGAAGTTGGAGATTTGGAGAGTCAGTCGCGATTCTTTCGCCGCGGTCACGCTTTACCCCTTTCGGACGCTTCCCTGCAACGGCCATCACCACCTTAACTACTTCACTCAACTACAAACAACCTACACGTGGAATAATAACTGCCTTGTCATCAGGCATTTGTAGTACTATATCATTGCTCGAACATAAATCAGTAAGCCTCTACCTGAATCTACTCCAGCAGCGATGCTTGATTAGTGTACAGCTCCTCCACCACATTGCTCAGCTTGGCAATGGTCTCTAGAGCAGCATCATATGCCTGATCACGCTCCGTCTCGTCGAAGACAATCAGACATCCGGCTCCTTGATCTAACACTCCGATGATAACTTTGTCCAAGATCATCTGTGAAAGCTTCCTCTCCACCTGCTGCGTGTCCAGTCCTACCATCTTGGCAATGTGGTCGAGCTCAACTCGGCTGAAGGGTTCGATGACCTTGATGAGATTCTGCTCCAGCATGGCATCGTACAATCTGCGAAGGTGGTTGCGGATGAACGCATCACTACCCAACTCAAATCTGTAGTCCGACAAAGCCTTCTCGTACTGCTCGAGGGACCGGTCCGCGTGAGCACGTGCCACAGCCTTCATGGCTTCCAATCGCGGGCTAGCATACTTCTGAGCCTGCTTGGATCCCAGCAGGTTCGTGACATCATCCACCAGGTTCAACATGATCTTGCACAGCAACATGTATTGAAGAGCAGCCGTTGCCTTCTCGCCCTCGTCGAGAGAGCTGTAGCCCTCCAGCGCCTCGATGAAGTACGAAAACGATGTGTTGAAGTCCTTATCCTCGGCATGGAGCATACCGCTCTGCATGTCCAGGCCGGCTTGCAGGTTGGGAGGAGTGTAGACAGAGGCGGCAGATGTACGGGCAGCCGTCAAGGCAGCACGTGCCTTGGCCTGGTTGCCCAGTGCATGATAGACGCGCGACTCCAGCAGCTGTACTTCGACCAGCATGAGCTTGTCGTCCAAGCGCTTCAGCTCGCGGAGAAGAGAGTTAATGAGGGTGAGGGCATCGTAGTAGGTTTGTTTCTGCATGTAAATGGCCACCAGCCGGGTTTCAAGGTTCTGGCGAAGGAATGATCTCCGCTCTGCGACGGCCCAGTCGATACAGGACTTGATGACGGCAACTTGAATATCGAGGGTGTTCGGGATCTCGCTGAACAGGTCCAGCAGCTGGCGGACTATTGAGATGAACAACAATCGTCAGCTCTGTGTGTACGCATGTTCAACCCGAAGATGTCATCTTACCCAGCTTGGCTGTCTTTGCCTTGGCGAATGAAGAGAAGGAATCACGGCTTGTCTTGATCAGTTCGGCAATCTCCTGCGGCTTCTTCTGGTCCCGGTAGACCTCTCCCAGCGAGACCAGGGCGTTTTCATAATCCCGCGACGAGGCCTCGGTCGAGCCGGGACCTTTAGAGAGGATCTCCTTGAGGGTGCTCTCAGCTTTGGCAGGGTCATTCTTTGCAAGAGTCCGGGCTTCCTCTATCCGCCCAGCAGTTGTCGGAGAGGGCGCCATGGCTGAAGACGGTGCTGTGATAGAAGGAAAAAGCGAAGGTCGGAGGTAGTAGTGACAAGATAGAGCCAATGAGCAGAGATCTATCAGCGCAATGTGTGAGGAGGCTAAAAAGCCGATGGGAGATGAGATGAGTAGGGTATAGGTATAGTGGACGATGGAGGACAGGAAGCTTACAGGTTTGGCTATCGTCACTCGCAGGCCGAGCTGCAGCTGCCGCTCTCACCGCCCGCGGCTTGGCAAGCCAACCACAATCGGCCTTACCCGCCCGCCGATGGAAAAAAGATTCCCAGAAATTTTTATGTCCGACTTGAATTTCTCTTTTTCACGTTTCGGTCCCAAGGAATTTCTGAGAGCACCATGGTGAGTATATCTGTGTTAGAATGCCAAATCGTAATCGGACGGTAACTAATATATGCCCTACAGAAAATCAAAGCTCTTTCTCGTCCCACTTCCTCTCAGCAGGCCCCGGGAACTGCTGTCGTTCGACAGCCTCGAAACCTCGACCCGGCACAGCATCCTTTTGAGCGCGCCCGAGAATACACTCGCGCTCTGAATGCTACCAAGCTAGAGCGTCTGTTTGCTGCGCCCTTCTTGGGTCAACTGGGCGACGGTCATGTGGACGGTGTGTACACATTGGCCAAGGATCCAGGCTCTCTGGAACGGTTCGCTAGTGGCAGCGGTGATGGTGTGATCAAGGTCTGGGATTTGACTACGCAGGGAGAAGTCTGGGAGACTCAGGCGCACGACAACATCGTCAAGGGCGTATGCTGGACCCCCGACCGGAAGCTGCTCTCCTGCGCCAGCGACAAGACCGTCAAACTCTTCGACCCATACAACTCCTCCTCCGAGGCTCCGCCACTAGCCACCTATCTTGGGCAGGGTGCCTTCACCTCCGTCACGCATCACCGTGATCTCCCCCACTTCGCTGCCGCCTCGTCCCAAATCTCGATCTACGATCTCTCTCGCCCCTCCTCCACGCCGTCTCAAACCCTTCACTGGCCTACGAATGTTGACACGATCACCTCGGTTGCCTTTAACCAGACAGAAACCTCCATTCTCGGCTCTACCGGTATCGATCGCTCTATTATCATGTACGACCTTCGCACCTCGTCGCCGCTCACGAAGATGACTCTCCGCCTGGCGTCGAACGCGATTTCTTGGAACCCGATGGAAGCGTTCAACTTTGCCGTGGCGAATGAGGACCACAACGTCTACCTCTTCGACATGAGGAAGATGGACCGCGCATTGAACGTTCTCAAGGATCACGTTGCGGCTGTGATGGATGTGGATTTCAGCCCGACTGGTCAGGAGCTGGTCACGGCCTCCTACGACAAGACGGTGCGCTTGTGGAACCGGGCTACGGGCCACTCTCGCGACATCTACCACACACAGCGCATGCAACGGTACGTCAACGCCCCATGTGTTGACTCTTCTGACTCTTTCACTAACCTCGTCGTGCAGTGTCTTCTCTGCCAAGTTCACCCCCGACAACAAGTACATCCTGTCCGGCTCCGACGACGGAAACGTCCGCCTGTGGCGCGCCAATGCTTCCGATCGCAGTGGCATCAAGAGTGCCCGTCAGCGAACCAAGCTCGAGTACGACCAAGCTTTGATCCAGAGATACCAGCACATGCCCGAGATCAAGAGAATCAGGCGCCAGCGCCACGTCCCCAAGCCGATCAAGAAGGCCCGCGAGATCAAGAGAGAGGAACTGAACGCGATCAAGAGACGCGAGGAGAACGTCCGCAAGCACACCAAGAAGGAGAACCTGAAGAAGAGACAGAGCGAGCGCGAGAAGATGATCCTAGCCCGGGAGCAGTAGGTCGGGCTCCATCATATATCTTGCGCTTTCCCTTAGGTCATTGCTCGCCTTGGGAAATTGTCCGGGCAGTCTTACGCTCTACGTTCTCGCATGAGTGGAAGAATCTTTTTTTTTTTCCCTCCTCCCCCCCACCACTATCACCCTCCAGCAGCTGCTGTTTCTCTATAACAATATGGCAGCCAACGTTCCTCCCTCCGCTGAGACCCTTCTCAGTGGTGCCGCCGCCCACCCTCCCAAGACCGCTGAAGAAATCGCCAACCAATATGACCTCCTCCCCAAGTTGATCCCCTATCTCGATCGCCACTTGGTTTTCCCTCTTCTCGAATTCAGCTCCGGTGGCCAGGATGACGACCGGGAAACCATCCGTGCCAAGTATGAATTGCTCAAGCACACCAACATGACCGACTACGTCGCCAACCTCTGGAAGGAAATCAACGACTCCGACTCCATCCCCGAAGAGTTCATCAAGAAGCGTGAGGAGGTCCTCGCCAAGTTGCAACACTACCAGGACCAGAGCGCCAAGATCACCGAGCTCCTGCAGGATGAGAGCGTCGTGGGCAACCTGCGCAGCGACAAGGTCGCCAACTTGAAGTTCCTCGAGGAGCAGCACGGCGTCACGATCGAGATGGTCAACAGCCTCTACGACTATGGTCGCTTCCAGTACAGCTGCGGTAGCTACGGCAATGCTGCCGAGCTCCTCTACCAGTTCCGTGTCCTGTCCACCGACAACGACAAGGTTGCCTCCGCCACCTGGGGTAAGCTCGCCTCGGAGATTCTGACCACCAGCTGGGAGGGTGCGATGGAGGAGGTTCTGAAGGTCAAGGATTCCATTGAGACTCGTCTCTTCAACAACCCCCTGGGACAACTGCAGAACCGCTCCTGGTTGATCACCTGGTCTCTGTTCCCTTTCTTCAACTACGACCCCGCCCGCGATGTCTTGACCGACCTCTTCTTCTCCCCCGCCTACATCAACACCATCCAGACCAGCTGCCCCTGGATCCTGCGGTACCTCGCTGCCGCCGTCATCACCAACCGCAACCGCGCCCACAAGAGCAACAGCGTCTACCAGAAGCAATTGAAGGATCTGATCCGGGTCGTTCGCCAGGAGGGTTACGAATACTCCGACCCCATCACCGACTTCGTCAAGGCGCTGTATGTTGATTTCGACTTCGAGGAGGCCCAGAAGAAGCTGGGTGAGGCCGAGGATGTGTTGCGGAGCGACTTCTTCCTCGTCTCTGCTGCCGATGCTTTCGTCGAGGCCGCCCGTCACCTCATCTCCGAGAGCTACTGCAAGATCCACCAGCGCATTGATATCAAGTACGTGCTTTGACAGAGCGGATTTATGAAGTGATGTGACTAATCCGGACTGTAGGGACCTGTCTACCCGTTTGGGTCTCAACCAGGACGATGGTGAGAAGTGGATCGTCAACCTGATCCGCGACACCAGAGTCGATGCCAAGATCGACTACAAGGAGGGCACTGTGATCATGAACCACCCCCCTCAGTCGGTGTACCAGCAGGTTATTGAGAAGACCAAGGGTGCCTTCTTCCGGACACAAGTTCTGAGGTAAGTCCAATCCGAGCACAACCTTCAAAATACACAGTCTAATGCATAACACAGCGCGGCCGTTGCGAAATAAATGACAACCCTTCTTTGAAGTTTTCTCTGAAACAAGAATTTCGTCCTTTTACCCTTCTCTTAATGGTTCTTCATGTTAGTAGTATTTCCCGCCGAAGTGCGGCGGGCTTCCTGAAATGAGGGGACCAAGCAGAGTGGCATCAGGCTGGCGTTCAGGTGGTCCACTTTTCATGTCTTTCTTCTTATTTTTCTTTTTGCTTATGTCTCTCTTCCCCATGAACCTGTCTATTTCCCCTCCTATGTATCTCTTTGTCGACATGCTTTCAGGTGAGCCTTTTTTTTTGTGTGACGATCCACGCCCGACCTGGAAGAAAAGCAAAAAAAAACTAAAAGAAGTACTGTCGAAGTTTCCACCGGGACAACTTTTTATCTTCTGTAAAGGATTGGCGATTCAGGGGTGATCAACGAAGCGACAGATGGGACGCAGCAGCTGACTGGTATACTTGACCAGTCGCCTCTCAGCTTCGGTCTCCGGTCATGCTTGAATCTCTTGAATGTCAAGGAACAAAACCACTCTTGCCCTCTTGCCGTGTGATTGGTTGGTCTATGCAGTTACGAATGATCTATAGAGATGATGGAATTGAATGTTGAATCTAGATCTATCTTTTTTTTTTTTTTGCCATCCCCCTTTTTTTTTCTGGCAAACAGTTAGAGCTCTACCCAAAGGCAATCACAACCCAATATCCACACCTGAACCTAGAGATCAATACTAATTCACCCGCCTCCGACTCGCTCCCGGCCCCCTCATGTGCCGTCTCCCACCCATCTCACCCTGGCCATGACCATGACTGTTAGTATAACCGGCGCCCCTCATCCACACAATCTCATTGATATACGGCTCTTCCCCTTCTCTGTTCCCCGAACATCGAGCCGCCGGACTCGCCCCGCTGCTGGTACTTCCACTTCCGCTTCCGCTTCCGCTGCTGCTGCTGCTGCTGCTGCTAGAGCTAGAGCTATATCTATAACCCCCACCGGTACTCTCACCAGCCATGCGCAGGGATTCCTGCCGTTCGTATTCGCGAGACATGGCTGATAGATCGTCGATCTGGTTCTATAATGTTTTTGCGAGGGGGCGGTTATATGCTGGGTTTCCGAGAATTGTGGTGCAGGTGCCGGTGCAGGTGCAGGATGGTTATGGTTGTGGTTTCTAGGGAGGAGGAGACGGTACGTACCCTCGTCAATGGGACACCGGTGATGAGGTAGCCGTCTCGGCCCTGCGCGAGGGATTTGTGGTTTAGTGGATGTAGTCGATTAGTGGGATTTGGGGGGGGTTGGGGGGGTAGGTGGCTTGCGGATTGTGGATTGTGGATTGTCACTTTGGGTATGGCTTTGAGTTGTAGGGGGTGGGGATATTGTCATTTGGGGAGCATGCACAAAATATGATGGTAAGGAAGTGAAGTATGGCTGGATGGATGCAATGTGGCATACCTGGTAGGAATACGGCCGCGCCGTTGCCGCTGGACCCAGGAAGTACTGGATCTGGCCGAGGACGATGGCGCGGGAGAGACCGTAGCCGGGGAGCCAGTATTGTTGGGTCTCGTGGGGTAGCATTGTTGACCTTGGGGGTTGGGGGGAAGAGGGGGGGCGGAGTATTTGTGCGTGTAGTCTGTGGAGAGTGTATACTGAATATGGTGTTTTGGTGAGAGAGGTATATAGGGCTTGTATATACAGTCGGGCAGGACGACTGAATATCAGAAAGGATTGTATGATCTCAACAATGAGGGGGGAGGACCCCCTTTTGTTGTAGATTTATAGGCAGGTTCCCAATCCTAGATCATGCAAGGAAAGCATTGGTTGTTGCTTAGCTGGTTTGTGGCTTAGTAGCCTTGTCATGCATATCGATGTGAATGCTTCGCTTTGCTTTACCCCGTTTATATACAGTGCCTACGGAGCTAGATTCATTATACAACGGATATAGGAATCGATTCCTGAAAGTGAGAACTGCCATGCCTGTATCCCCCTCTAAAACCCCAAGCCCGATATATATGCCAAGTATATCCACAAAGAGATCCAGAGATCGAGGCATTGAGAGAAAGAGAGGAGAACAGACAGCCCTGCAATCACTGCTGAAATGCAGTCCCGCAACAAACAAAAAAAAAAGCAAGCGCGCCTCACTCTTTCCCATCCAACCACCACCGTCCTCCTCTACACCGTTTCTTCTGAACGGCAGACTAAGAAAAAAAAGTGAGGCTTGTCTGTCAGAATTCAATAGAAGCAGGCGAATTCGGCCCCACAAATCATAAGCTTATGCGTGGTAGATTTGTTTCAATTCTCGGGGTACTGTACTGTGTTGCTTGTTTGACTTTTCGTGTTGCTGCAGCGCCAAAACTACCTATGCATGCAGTTCTGATGTGGTTGCTACAGGGCAGTATGCATGTACCGTACGTGGGAATATGTGCTTCGGGGCCTGGTGCCGTGGTTCCAAGAATGTGAAGCTACTTCAAGTGGATTGTGGCATGGTGTAAGATTTGATTGGCAAGGGGATTCTGATGGACTGGGCCAGGCGCTCTTGATCCCTGTGGGTGTGCTACAGGTGTCTGGATACTGATTGCATCTTCTGATGATGTGGCCCCAGAGGGTCTGGATTACTCCATCTCTTTCATGCGGCGAGTCAAGCAGGCGGTTTCTGGCAGCCTACCGCTTCATGGCTGTTTCAGATCCCAGTCATCCAGTGATCGAGTTAGCCATGAGGTTTTCCATTGCTCCTAAATGCAGGGGTCTTGCAAGACGAATCAAGGTCTGTTGTAAGAGACTCTCAGCAAACAAGCTCATATGTGAGCGAAATGACAAGGGCCATGGCAGATGAACACTTAGGACTCCTCAGACGTCAGGCTGCTCGTCAATACTGCAAGGATTTCGTGGTCGAAGCGAAGGAAATGAACATTATCGAAGAGTATAGATGGAGCTGCAGGCAGAAGGTGAAGTCATAGTACAGAGATCCAAATCAACATGCTGATGCGGAAGACAAACCCCTTGAGCTAATACATCAAACCAGAATCCCCAGCTCAAGAAGGTAAAATTAATATTCAGAATCACCAAAACGCTTCTTGCATTACTGTCTATGATCTTTTCGTGACTCATCCAGACAAAAGGCATACTTGCAACAAAATATCATGCAAAGAATCGTCCCGCATCCGTTAGTTGCCCTCCGGGGGAACATATGGGTTCACAAGCATGTCGCTAAACCTGTTTCATGAATTAGCACCGACGTTTAGTGTGCCTGAGCTACTCGGACACTGCTGGGTCATCACATACTTCTCAAGCTTCTCCTTGCCTCTTACTTCCTCAACCAACAAAGGCATCTGGACAACGTTGAAGTCCTCGTAGAGTTCCTCGATCTGCTCAAGGTACTTCTTCTGCATCTTTCGGCGTGCGTTACACTGTTCGCACGCGCTGCTCTGCGTAGGGAATAACAGTTGGTTGACGACGATAGCATGGGTGTCGATGTTGTAGCTGGTCAACTCCTGGATCATGCGCTCGGTTTCGTACAACGACAGGAACTCAGCGATGCAGACGCAGACGAAGGTGGTAAGGTCGGCATCCTTGAACTGGGAGTTCACCTCGCTGATCGTCTCCCGGAGAGACTCCATCTTCTGCAACAGTTCGTCGAGGTTCTGACCGCCGGGCAAACCTCCACGGGAGCCCAGAATAGAGTTGAGCATAGGGCCGAACTGGGAGGACAGCTGCGACAGCTTCGCGAGAGCCTTCTCGAGGACGGTAGGGAATTGGAGGAAGCGGAGAGTGTGGCCGGTGGGCGCAGTGTCGAAAACGATCACCTCGTAGGACAGGGACTTGACTTGCTTCAAGACCTCCGCGAAGGACATGGCTTCGTCAACACCGGGGATCTAGTGAACCAATCATTAGCCATGGAAGCTCGTGATGCATGCGCGCAAACGCCGGGGAACGTGGAGCGTACGCTGAAAGCTAGATCCTGCATCATGCCGCCCACACCCATCCCGGACAACGGATCATCTCCCTGGCCTTCACCAGTAGCCAAAAGGTCCTGGATACTGCCATTGGGGTCGATCTCCATGGCGCTCAAATTGGTATAGCCATCGACCAGTCGAGCCTCCTTTCCAAACTTCTGTCCAAAGGCATCGCTCAGGTTGTGCGCGGGGTCGGTGGAGATAAGCAGAACAGACTTGCGGACTTTAGCCAGCTGAATCGCAAGCGAGCAGGAGGTCGTAGTCTTGCCGACACCTCCCTTACCACCGACGAAGATCCAGCGCAAGGTTTTCTGGTTGACGACCGACTGGAGCGTGGGCTCCATGAGGTCGTCGCTATGCACGACAGCGGAGGACATGGTAGGGGTCGAAAAAGAAAAGGATTGAGACTATGGGTTTGGTTGTGTATCTGGTCTGAGAACAGAGAAAAAAAGAAAGGAGTAAGCTTTAGCGCTTTACCGACTTGCAGTGTTGATTTGGAGCTTGGACTTACCACGTAACTGACGGGTTCCCCGCAGAGTCCTGAAACCTTCGGATAAGGCGGTCGGTGGGATTCGAGAAGTTTCGTAAGAAGAGCTGCGTCACTCCACGCTAGTAGTCGAGGGAAGTAAGTGACAGGCACGGTGGTATTTCTTTCTATACAGCAACAATGATTGAGAGTCGTACATGTACAGCGCAAGAAACAGCAGGCGGCTCTTGCCTCAACTCTCTTTAGCTGTTGCTCAGGCGGCACGTGCCACGTGCTACGTGCTAGAGCCATCATGGGCCATTTTACCTTACCTTCTGCCTCAGGCGCTGTACTATGTAGTCTGTATAGAGTTATCGCTCCCTATCGCTTCGAATCACCCTCCGCGCGACATGCAGCCCATTCCCGACACCTTCCGCAGAATGGCACACCCCTGAATGCGTCGGATATCGGGTCCTTCTGTAACGGCTAGGAGCAAGTTAGTCTTAGAAAACTCTCTTTTGAGTACGGTCCGACCTGAACGGTCTTGCGATCAAGTCGATGCAGTTGGCCCCATATTGTCTGGAATACCTTCAGCGCCCATCAGTGATGCGATTCTGATCATGATACGTTCTGCATCGCTTACACATGTAACTTACTTCTTCTGGAACTTCTTTAGTGGCACACGAAGGGCATCATTCATACCCATGCTATCAGGTTGTGGAAATATGACAGATGGCAATAAAGCTGAGCTGTCTAGATGTCTGGTGGCCTTGCAGATGAATAATAATGTGATTCCAAGTGTAGTTAGTGCTTGTGCTTGCTGGCAAGCACGGAGCACCTTATTACCACAACATCCTCCTCCGCAGAAAATGAGGCTCTACATGCCGTGCATCACAGATCATATTGCCGCAAACTAAGCCCTCTATCATCGTACTCATGGTTCAGCCAAAAGCAGAGAGGTCATGAAGTCAAATAGACTGCCAGTCTAATTCAATCCCGCGATCCCTGTATCTGTACTTGTACAGTACTACCAACTCAGCACGTCTGGAAGTGACGGTGTAGCTTGGAGATCAGTCGATAACATTCGACTGCATCATGATCTACATCAGTACTTCATTCCAAGGCCAAATGGGAAAAGACCGCTTTCGCCTCAGCTGATAGCTTCAATGGAAATCGCAAATTAAAAGTACTCAAGTACAATCGTTGACTGGTAGACCAGCCATGATACCTTCCTATAGGCGGATTGCAAGATCCGGTGCTAGAGTCATTGCTAACACCCCCCACCAGCAAAATCCAATACAACAACTGGCTGCATCTTTGAACATCGTCTGACTTGGATCCACGTGTTTACCCCCCCTCCCCCCAACAATCTATGGAAAACAATCCGCGTCGACTACTGCGTTGTGTTGAGGCCTTCCCACTTTGACACGGATTGCCTTATGACTTATAGCCGAGTCTACCATACAATGTATGTACGTACTCGGCATAAAACGCGCCATAAATCTATCATGCATCTTGGGCTGTCCGGCCTTGCTAGCTCATTTCTCCTTTGCATAAAATGCAGTTGCGTGCCTGTGCTCCGTTTTCGGGGGACGCTAAGGGGAATAAGCCTCCCGCACCTGGAGACCCGGCTCGGGGTTGACTTGGGGGGAGGTGCCTGGAAAAGTCTAAAGAGGACGCAACAAGTATGATTCTGAGCATGAACGGCCAGAAAATATTCTCAGCAAGAACTTGGAAAGCGATCGTTTTATCGACTATCAATTATCGGCTATCTACTATCGATAGGAGTGTGTTCTGGCCGGCCTGTAGGCCAGTTGGGGCTCCATGTGGAGAGACACAATGAACTCCAAACTTACTTCTCCTCCTCGGCATGGAAGGCTCATACCATCTGGCCGAGTCCGATCACCCACTGATCCAGAGATTGGGGTGGCAATCCAATAAAGACTTCTTACCGAACCGGTTTCGATGCCAATGAGATACCGCGACAATGGCATCACGTGATGAATACCCACGGGACGAACGTTCCGGAGCATTGCGTCATCGGGGACGATCCAATCATGGAGGGGATGTGTCACTCAACGTTCCGAAGGAAGATTCCCCCTGAAACCAGCAGAACAGGTTAAGTTGAAATTGGAGCCGGAGATGGAAGGGGAGAGGACGAGGAGGGGGTGTGTGGAAGCCTGGAGGATAACCTGCTTGAGCCAATCCTGAGCCCTGGGAAGAGGGCCGTCAATGAGCCATTCATCTATTCATCCATTCATGCCGGCGATTCATGTCACCCTCGACTGCAGTCTCGACCACTGAGTCGACGCAGATCCTGACCGCCCTGCAGCCGGACAAACATAGTGTCCGATTCATGATTCGTTCGACTGGGCGGGGGCTCACATACGGGCCCGTGAGTGGCTGAACTAAGGGAGCCAAGTGGGGTGGACTTTAGTTGGACATCGAAGGAAAATTCCTGTCGTCGTCACCGTGATCTCATCCATTGCTGCCAAATCAAACCCCCCCCCCCTTCTTCTTCTGCTGCTGGTGCTGTTGTTGCTGCTACTTCTGCTTCTGCGTCTGCCACAGTCACTGCAGTCAAGTCAGTCATCAGTCAGTTCTGGCCTGCTTGTTGCACCTCGTAGTACGGAACTAGAAAATTAGAGTATGTAGACGGTGGTTGTTGCACTTCTTGTCCCTCCCCCCAGCCTATTTTCTACCCCTGGATAGCGAAGCAACATTCTTGTAACCCGAGGCCGAAACAGCGAGAAAGTGTAGAAAAAGACCTTGTCCTCGGTTGTTAAACTCGCCAGTCTTTCCGCCGTCATTTTCAACGATCACTTTCCACCCGGATTCCGCTCGTCACATTGGTTGAAAAGTGTTCCCGAGAGCCCACCATCTCCAAGACCCAAGTTCTTCTGTCCAAGTAAGGGCCAGCCAGCATTCGCCTGCATAATCATCCAGCCAATTTTTTTTTCTTTTCGTTTTTTTTTTTTTTTTTTTTTTTTTTTTTTTATAGGCGGATAAGAATTATAGATAGATCATG